AAAATTTAATCGAATGGGTCCTTCCAAAACAAATAAAATATGGTAAAAATTGTTTTGGTAAGGCATTTACAGAAACATTGCAAATAATTCTTATGTATTTACACCATTTGACTTTTGAATTAAAGAGAAACTTTCAAACATTAAAAGTAAATTTCTAGAAAATCATGGTCAACTGACAAAACTTTGAAAATGATTTATATGCTACTTATAACAATTGTTGCAGCACTAAATATATGACATCATAAACATATAAAAATTTTTGCATGATGTGGTATGCATGTAAAAATTGAAACTTAGGTTTAGTATATCTAAAAAATATATAAAAAATTAAAACAAATAAAAACTATTTCAAAAAATTACGATAACATAAACTGATTTAGTTCAAATCATATTATTAAAATAAATTTTTATATATTTTTTAAATTATTTTGTGTGGAAGTAATTAAATTTGAAGTAAATAATTATATAAATCATGATTAATTAGTTTAATTTAGTATTAATTAAAAATATCTTATATTAATGATTTATTTTAAGTTGGTGATATAAATTTAAATATCATTTTGGTGATATAAATTATGATTAACTGATTTTATTACTACTATTTTTAATAAGATTCGGATGTCCGACATATAATTATATCGGAGAGAACTGATGTCTATGTAAATCTCAATATAAAAATATAAGATATTCAGGCAACTTAAAATAAGAAAAATATGACTGCAAGCAAGTGAGAGATTAAAATAAAAAATAAAAAAAAATGAAAAACAAGATTTACTGCATCATTGTGCTACATCGGCCTGCAGTCGGCCGTGAATTTTAAAATTTTGGCTTTGTCTTTAAAAAATGAAGCAAAGTTTGTTGTGAAGAGTGGGGGGGGGGGGGGAAAAAAAAAAAATTCCCCGCGGAAAAAACAAGTAGATACATTCGTCAATCCGTACATTTCGGGAGCATTTACATGGCACGCATGTCTGGCTTAAAAAAAAATCACAATGGAACAATAAGCGGAGCAGGAAGAAATGATCACCGGCTTGGCTTGCAGAAATCACGTATGGAGCTGTGCCGCACAGCAGGAGAAGCTATTTCCGGAGTCACCCTCCTCAACTTCACTTGTAGAAATCGCAATGGAGCAGTGAGCGAAGTAGAGATGCGATTCCCGACTTCACCTTGGGCGTCGCTTGCAAAAATCGAGAATGGAGCTGTGTTCCAGAGCAGTAGATGCGATTTCCGGGATCGCCTTCGGCTTCAGCTGCAAAATCGTTAATGGAGCAGTAAGTGGTGTAGGGAGAAGAGATTCCCAACATCACATTAAGGTTTGAGGTAGGTGGGATTTCTTAGTTTTTCGGTTGTAGCTATACTATTTCAGAAAAATGCTGTGGGAAAGTTGATTGTATGTTTGTTGAGTTCTTATTCTGTGCGGACACCGCACGCATCACATAGTGGTGTCCAATGGAAAGATGACATCTGGAACAGTGGGCCCCACAACTTCAAAAATTAAATTGAGGCATGTTTACGGCGCGACCCGGCCCGAATCTGGCCCGAAACAAATAAAAGTTAACAGAGCGCCTGAAAGAAAGTTTATTCATCGAAAAACCAAACGACGCCCGAGCGAGGAGAGCACGGAGCACCTTCATTCGATCTTCATTCTATCTTTTAGGGTTTTTGAATCAGATAAACTCAGGCTTTTAGATTTGCTGTTGGAAAACGAAGAGAGCCAGTGAGAATGGAGACGGAAGAGCCCGTGATAATGGAAACCGAAGAGGAATCGACAATGCAGGCCGAGAAACCCAAGAAAAAGGAAGGGAAAGAACAAAAAAAGAAGGAAATCCAAGAGGGTTCATCTAGATAATTTTTATTTTGGTGTTTTTGAGTTCTACACACGTGCACACAATATTACCTTTAAAAATCAACATTAAACCTCAATAAAACTTGTTATTTAATTATAATACAAAACCAATCACTATTTAACAATACCTTAAATTTTACCTCAGTATTACATAAATAATGTTATAATAATAACAGAATACAGCGAAGAAATTGCCAGAATATAACCTTAATTCTACACCAAAATATAACCTTAATAATAATAATAATACCTGAATACAACTGAAAAATTTCTATAATATAACCCAAGTACTAAACCTGAGTAACACTAGAATATAACGTTAGCCTAAATAATATTACCTGAGTCTTACAGAGATAATACTATAATAATAACAGAATATAATGGAAAAACTACCAGAATATAACATTAATACTACACCGGAATATAACCTTGATAGTATTACCGGAATACAACAAAAAAACTTCTATAATATAACCTAAGTGCCAAAAATACAACAGCAGTACAACAGAAATACAACCATAATATAACCAAAATACTACAATGTTAGAATACAACGTAAGTATTACTATAATATAACCTAAATAATACTATGCTAGATCACATAATATTGCTTAAATATTACCATTGTATTCCCGTAATAAAACATTTCTACATAACCCCTTATATTTTTTGCACTATTTTGTTTGATGTAGGTTTGTGAACCCAAGGTCCATCAGTTCTAGATGTCGACCATCTGTAGTTCGAAATGCACTTGATAATCTCCAAGGACATGGATCGAAATTCAGCTTCAACACTGCTTCGGGTAACCACCAACTACTTTTGTTTTTCAATGTGACAAGATTTCCCTACACAAATGAGCAGTGCCTGGAGATAGATCATAATAATTACAGAATACAACGGAAAAACTACCAGAATATAACCTTAATACTACACCGGAATATAACCTTCATAATATTACCTGAATACAACGGAAATACTTCTATAATATAACCTAAGTACTAAACCTTACCAAAAAATACAACAGCAGTACAACAAAAATATAACGATAATATAACCAAAATACTACAATGTTAGAATACAACATAAGTATTACTATAATATAACCTAAATAATACTATGCTAGATCACATAATATTGCTTAAATATTACCATTGTATTCCCGTAATAAAACATTTATACATAACCCCTTATATTTTTTGCACTATTTTGTTTGATGTAGGTTTGTGAACCCAAGGTCCATCAGTTCTAGATGTCGACCATCTGTAGTTTGAGATGCACTTGATAAGGTCAGGCTTGTTGTATCCGACGAGATGATGAATGAGCTGAAAACCTTGAATGTTGATCAGTTCTTTGCACTTCCACCTTATCCCCAAGACAATGTGGTCACACTTCAAATATTGCAATGTTGGATACATGAAAAAATGGTTTTCAGACTGGGAGGGAAAGAACTGAGGATTAATCCTGATGAAGTTGCCCTCTTGGTTGGCATGCCAAATAGAGGAGAAGTTCCAAAGTGGAAGAAAGTTCCATCCTGTGGCGTTGATGCCCGTCAAATGAAGGCTGATCTGTTGACCTTCGGAACTGGGGAGTCTTCTGCCCCTTTTAATCAATTGTATATAAACTATTTGTTATCAAATTTATTTTTTCCATCTAGTAATTTCAGTGTATCCAAAGGACTTTACATCTTTGGAGAGAATGTAGATACGTTTGCTTCATTTAATTGGCCCGTTGCGCTATGTGAATATCTTATTGAGCAAATAAATGTGGTTGCCATCAAAATAAGGCGGAACCGATCTCTGGGATATATAAATGGTTTTCTTTTTTTGCTAACGGTAAGTACATCGTGTTAAAGTCAAATGCTATTTATTTCTTTGTGTAAAGCTAAATATGTCTTTTCCACACAGCTCTGGTTTTATGAGCACACTTCTTTGATTACTCCTGTGAATTCTGAGGCTAGACCTCGAATGTTGAGGTGGCCAACAACTGTAAGCTTGAGCTCATCCCAACTTGATATAGCCTTTAAGATGTTGACTCCTGATCAGGCAAGTTACATATATCTTTAATTTCCAATTAAATTATTAAGTCGTTTTGAAACTATTAATGATCAAAGCGTTTCTTTTTGAAATTACTTGCAGGTTCATGATAAATTTTTTGATCTGAAAGAGGATGAGCTCAATCTATTATCCAATCCAGATGAAGGATTACCTGGTCCAGTTTCTCTGACGCAAGTCCAGGGCAGACCAGAGGCACCTGTATCATTTGATATGGGGCCAGTTGATTCAGGGGACATCGCCCCTGAGCCATTGTATACCACAATAAATAAAAGCATGGAATCAATAGTCCAGCTGCTTAAAGGGCAAGAAAAATGGTTCACTGAATTTCAGGGAACCTTGAATACAATAACTGTTGGAGTATCGAGTTTGCAGGGACAAATGTCGGTGCTGCAACATAAGTTTGATAAATCTGAAAATATTCCAACTAATAAAGGCGAAGAGATCGGAGTAGATGATCCTCAGCCAGCCTCCCCTCATGGGTGGAGTCCTCGTGATTTTGTTACCCAGCATTCAGCTTCTGTTGATGTTACCCAGCATAAAGATTCTATAGGAGAAGAGCTAATCCAACTGTCGTCTGTTGTCGAAGAAGGAACCCCTGTTGAAGGAGATAAAGTTGAACGGTCTGTTGCCAGCTTAATATAGAAGGTTAAGGGTAGACGGAACAGAAGAAAGAAGACAGTGAGTTCACCTTTCACTGCCTTAGAACTGAAGAGACGAAAAACAACTGGTGAAGTCGATGAGGCGATGATCTCGAGGAAGACGCTGCTGTACATACCACCACCATAGTAGAAGAACAACAAATTTCTGAAGAACCAATAATAGACCCTGTAGCAGAGACGGGTCTTCAAATAATTGTATTTTCTGGTGTACATACGAACCTTAACGTAGAGGGACAACACAGAGTTGAAGATGAAGCTGTAGAAGGATCACATGTCCTAGCAATAACAACTCCAGGAGATGTAGCAGATGTTGTTAATGTGTTATTTGGAATTTGTTTTTTGATACATTGTCTTATATCATCTAAATTACTTGTGTATTTCAGATGAGCAGTTAAGGGTAGACGGAACAGAAGAAAGAAGACAGTGAGTTCACCTTTCACTGCCTTAGAACTGAAGAGACGAAAAACAACTGGTGAAGTCGATGAGGCGATGATCTCGAGGAAGACGCTGCTGTACATACCACCACCATAGTAGAAGAACAACAAATTTCTGAAGAACCAATAATAGACCCTGTAGCAGAGATGGGTCTTCAAATAATTGTATTTCCTGGTGTACATACAAACCTTAACGTATAGGGACAACATAGAGTTGAAGATGAAGCTGTAGCAGGATCACCTGTCCTAGCACTAACAACTCAAGGAGATGTACCAGAAGTTGTTAATGTGCTATTTGGAAATTGTTTTTGATACATTTTCTTATATCATCTAAATTACTTGTGTATTTCAAATGAGCAGGTGATGTGACATAATTTTTTTTTCTTGTAGCCTCTTCCAGCTGTCCCCCAGATCGACTATCCCCGCAGATCTATGGTATCAGCTGAAACACAGACGGTGATCGATCAAGTCATGGAGAAATACATCAATGAGTGAGTGAATCTGTGTTTTTAATAATGAAATTCTTTTGGGATTAAGTGAATGAAGATAACTTCTTTATTATATTTGGAATTTGTATTATTATGCAGGAGTGATATTATATTGCACTTGAAAGACATTTTTATAGATCGTCGGGCAATGATGGAGTTATTGTGCAATG